TAATACCATTGGTACAGATCTTAAGAAAAAGAGAGGCAGACGGACAGCCAGACAGATAGACAAACGAACAGACAGACGGACAAGTTTACGACAATGAGCACATAAACCCTAAAGATTGGTGTTGGAACCTTTTACCTACGCCGTGTCATGACTGCCCATAAACACACAGGAAAAAGCGAGAGGTGCGGGTTCTAGTCCCGCCTGGGGCGAAAGTTTTGTTCACAACCCAGCATTCTTGTGAAACATTCGCAATTGAAAGACAAACAAATAAATAGAATATAAGCCAACAAATAAATAGAAAATTACCAAAAAATAAACAAATAGAAAAATAAGCGAAAGCAGCCGGATGAAAATAAGATAAGATAAGATGATCTAAGTCAATAGTACTTCTGAGTCAACCAGGAAGTCAACTAACCGCATGCTCCTCGGAAGTTCTTCACGGCTGCACCAGCGGCTGTTTCCAATTGGATGATATCCACACCACGATCGAGATGTTTTGGATTGACGATCACTTCCATTTCGAGTTCATTGTTCTCCACTACTCGCTTGATCGCCGACAGCTTTGCCCATAAGTTGTTCGTGTTGAAGATTCTGTAGATATTTCAGAAATCTTTGTGATAGCCCTGTCTACGCTACTCTGATCTTCTATACAATTCATATTAAATTTGCAGCTTTAAAGGCAGATGGCACGATAAATGGTTGTCCACAAGAAATGATAGTAGAAATGCTAAGAAATGCTGCCAAACAAGAGACCAAGGGAAGAGTCTTTAACTCGCAAAAATGACCCTCATCGTTGATTTCCGCAGCGCTGAGCGAATCGCAACCAGTTAGACGTCTAAGATATCGGCGCTTGTCTTAAAAGGATTTCAACGATGTGCAAGCCGGAAAGTGTGCCCTACCAAAAGGTCTAGAGGCTGGTACGAGGAACCAGTAGCTGGGGCAGTCAATTCTGAGCGGGGGGTGGGGGGAACGGCCACGAGAGCGTACAGAAAGATGGATAAAGCATTATAAGGTCGCTACGAGCGCAGCCTTCGTCGCCGCATTGCGTTCTCTCAGAGGCTCAGACTTCCTGTGGCGGCCTATCTCCCTTTTTCATCGCTACCATACTGCTTAATAGGCTCCAACCCGCCGGATAGCGCATGTACCTTTCAACGCAGCTCAATAAGATGTATATTGTACCTGAATTACATAATGATTTGAACTCGTCACATAAATTCCTTTGGAAACTTGGGCACACTTTCGAGAACTATTCTATTTCGTAATTGGATCATTACTTCCTTTCTACCGTCGGCACTGTTTTTGTTGTTACCCTTTAAAAGAGATTTTTTTAATACAAAGACAGAATTTTCTATGGATCGCCATGTCCCTCTTGACATTGGTCAGAATACAGGCAAAGCGCAGCAGCTTCCTGCCTTACAGCTGAATTGAGTGAGAATAGTGGCCTTCACACTGAATTGAGTTGTTTCTGCTTCATAGAACAAGGTCGAAAAAATCAACTTCAAAAATAACGAGCTGTTTGTCTTTAAGGACTTCACCTGGACAAGTAAAACGTTTCCACCCACTGCACTAGCTCTTCTGGAAAGCTTTGGGGCGCTATCGCAAGATACGGGGACAGTGCAGCTGAAATCACTTGAAGCTGCGTTGGACATTTTGTTGTTATAAATAGCACCACGTTCAGGAGGGTAGGATAAACTCTGAAACCCGTAATAAAAATTCCCCCAACATCTCAACAATCACTACCCACATGTAGGGAGAGCATTCTGATAGGAATTATGGAGCGATCGATCCGTGCACCGCTGCAGTCGCTAATGGGCCGCCATTCAAACATTCCAGCTCACCGCGATCATTCTGAAGAGCATTCAGCCGGTCGGTCATCCAATCCAGACAGTATGTCAAAAAAATACAAACCTCCATGAGGAACTCTGGATGATCGTGACCGGCCGGTGGAGACAGGAGGAAATTCAGAATGGGAAAATCGACTGTCGCACCCATGTTGTCAATATTGGACAGGAAGCAGTACTGAAATCACCAGAATAGTGAAATATTATAAACTCAGAAATCTCACGAAACGCCTTACCTCCTTTCCATCTGCAATGAACTTGTCGATAAGACCAGAATTGTAGAAAGCTTCATAGAAGTTTCCGTGACCAGGTGGGTACCAGCTAAAAAACCAAAATTGATTAGTCCAAAGTACCAACACACGGGGGTACCCCCAGGAGGCCCGTCGCGCGGCAAGAAGGCAGAGTCGTCGGACGAGTTGCAGCGCGTGATGTGCGATGTAGGACGTGCAATGGGACACTCTATTTAACTTGACGCGAAATCCCTATAGTACGCGCGCGACTCGTCCGCTGACTTTGCCTTCTTGCCGCGCGACGGGCCTCCTGGGGGGGGGGTACCCAAAACTGGATGGTTCGGACAGGTGGTCGTATTATTCTACCAAAACCGAGAAGTCAAACAGGCGCATGCCTCTGATTTCATGGCACACCTTTTATTCTACCCGAAGTAACACAACGGTTGGTGCGAAATAGGCAGGCAGCAAAGAATTGGAAAAAATCCGTCAAAAACGCCCAAGTTAAAGAAATGCGAGAGTAAGCGCGGAGAGGAGAGTATGAGGCGAGAGAGCGCTACAGATGAGAGAGCGCCAGACAACAGTCCCCTGATGGGAGGAGAACATTGCAGCTGCAGCAGCTTACTTTGCAAGGTTCCAGCGCCCTTATCAGGTGATTTCCACTGCACGGGAGTGCCCATCTGTGATTGTTCCCTTACTTCTATCCAACAGACCGAAGAAAATCGTTCACACAACTTCTACCTGAGTTGTGCCTTTAAGTCCTGTGCACTTTTTTGCAGGGGAGGTAGTATTACTGAAGCCACCGTCAGCCCAAGGATTTCAAAATATGCTACAATACTATTTTTTATTTACTCATAGGATGGTCTTTGAAAACAAATATATGAATAACATTTGTTTTCTAAATTTTCGGTAACCAAAAACCAACCACTCTTGATCGTTATCGTTAAGCGATTTTGCGATTGGCATAGAGTTTCGCGATTGATACGTGGATATTGCGATTGGCAGAAGGTGTGCACGGAACCTGCAAGAATACGGTACCAACTGAGGCTACTGTAGGCATATGTAGAGCCCTGAAATATCGCCAACCTTGACATTTGCGTACTTCTTTAGTACTTTTTTGGTGTCTTCTTCGGTATTGAATGAGTTCATCAGCACCAACGGCACATCAACGTTGAATGTTTTGTTCAAGGTCTGAAACAGGTACTGTATTCTGCAGAAATTACTTGGCAGAACTCCAACTGATACCTGAATCTGCTGTAACGTCAAGTCGAGGAAAGTCAGCTCATTTCTCACGGGGATCACCGACTTCGGGCCTTTACAACCCATTGATGTGCCAAGACCTCCGTTCAGCTTCACCACCACTAATTTGTTCAACATTGACGCGATCACCTCATCGTTATTCGGATGTTCCAACTGAAAAGTGGGAACCATTTTGGTAAGTAACACCGGTAGTAAACTTTCGACCACATACGTGTTTGTATGTCCTAATAGTTCCTTCGGGTAATGGCTCGATCTTCGACCAGTCCACGTGAGTTTTGGCTC